CAACACTACTGACTTGGGCCTATTAATTATCCCCATATTACAGTTGAAGAAAATGACACTGAGAGGTTAAGTACCTTGCCCAAAGTTATCTATAAATCTAACATTGGTTTCATTTATGTTGGAAACCTGAGTTTTTTCAAGTGAGGTTATAATAGGTTACCTTGTTCTTAATGACCCCTTTCTATTCTGACTGCTTATGGACCATCTCTTTAATGTTCTTGAAGAGTTCATCAGTAGTAGTTTCCACCTGTTTGTACAGACCATTTTTCCAGTCTTATGGGCACCTCTCTATGATCACTGGTAGTGATGGTGTGACCATATTTATAAATCCTTTCAGTGCCCTGGAATAGAAATTTCAGGCCCATACTATATAAAAAAATCCTAGTTTTCACTTTCATCTTAAATAGTTCAATCAGAATAATTGAACAGAATTCTACCAATGCCTTAATTGTACCTAATATTGTGGAGAATGTGTTTCTAATGCACACCTTGAATTGTGTCTTATGCAGTGGAATGGAATACCGTCATTTTAAGAATCTAGTAATGATAGCTAACCCTCAGCACTTCTGGACCCTGTATTAATTGCCTTACGGGCACTATTTCACTTAATCCTCACAACAAACCTTTAAGGTGTGGATAAGATATTATTTACAGATAAGGAAATTGAATCTTTGAGAGGGTAAGTGTTTTATTATCCAGGGTAAAACATCTGCTGACTGTTGAGGTAGGATTATAAACAAGGTCTGAATCCAGAACTGGAGTTCTAACTGCTTTGTTTTACTGCCGTTCCAAGAAATCCTTGTCCATAGATTGTTTTTATTGTGACAGACATTACATAAAATTTGCATTTTTAAGCATATAGTTCTGTGACATTAAGAACATTCACATTGTTGTGCAACTTGTACTGCCATTCATCTCTAGAACTTTTTCATCTCTCCCAACTGATATTCTGTATCCATACTTTTTTTTGAATGTTGTGAATACCTACAGATATCCACAAAATATTTATAATATGTATATCCATAATAAATCACAGAAATAACCTTAATGTTACACTGATTTTTATTTGTATACCATCACAATAAATTAAGCGATAACCAAGTCTAAGAGTTACTAGTAATTTAAGCTTCCTTAGCTCGTAAGAAGTTTCTCTAGGCTTGATAATAAATAGTGTAGCACATTTACCAAACCCTATTTAATCAAGCTGTGTACCTAGTTGATTTGGTTAGTTCACTCATATAAACCATGTAACTTGAAAAGATTAACCAGATTAAGCTGGGTTCGATGGTGCGTGCCTATAGACCCAGTGACTCGGGAGGCTGAGGCAGGAGGATC